CACAATCATTTCTTTAGACAGTAGGATCTAAATTCATGCCCCACCGAGAGCACCACGATTGAATCATCAGGTCTACAGTGAGACTGTCACCTATTTGTCTAGTTGCCGGAGAAGGAATATCTGCATAGAGAGAAGTATCATCAGTATATGCCAACATTTTATTAGTAATGGCATACCCCATATCGCTTGTATATAAGAGAAAGAGCAAAAGGCCAAGAACACTACCCTGAGTCTCTGGAAGAAACAAATGCACAGAAAGACGTTTGACCAGCAAACGTTCAAAAACCTTGGATAAAATTGGTGTAATTGAAATGGGCTTATATTCAGTAGCCCTTGGGAATAGGAGTAACATTACCAAAGCCCCAGCGCTCTGAAAATGACCCTTTACAAACTAAAAGGCGTAAGATTACGGCTAATTTAGGAGCTTAATTGGCCATTTAGTCTTTTTATAATCAAAGGAAACAAACCATTAGGGTCTACTCCACCAAATTCATCTAGTTCTGATAACAGATACTTGATTTTAGAGGACCTGAAAGCAAATGAATTAAACCATGGCGATGGGTGACATGAAGGAGGAAGTTCAATATCTTCTAAACTTTGTTTTGAAATAAAACATTCTGCTAGCAAGGTAGCTTCCTCAAACGGACTATATATAATACTACCATTAGATTTCATTAAAGGAGGAATGGAGGACTCAAGACCAAACAGAGATGTTTCTAGTGTTGACCACCATTTATGAGGCTGTGAGGCTTGTGAGAGAACTTTCAAATGAGCATTATATTCAGATTTAGCCTCCTTATAAACATTAGTTGCTGTATTTCGCATGTCATAACAAACATATTTCTCTCCAACAAAGACAAGTACGGTTAGCAGACCACAGATTGTAGGCAGCATGTTTGTCCCTATAAACCTGGTGACACCGTTCATTAAACCATACTTTATCATGTGAACGAGATTTCAGAATTTTGCTGGGTACAAACATCGTTATGATGTCCAACTATAACAAATACAAAGATATAATGGGACAAGGAGCATTATAAACATTTCGCCAAACAATGCTATCAAAAGCATGGTAGGCACTGTTCCAGTTAATTCTAGACTTTCAGAAGACTTTAGTTTGCGTAAAATCTGGTATAGGAAAGTCCAGATGGATCTTACATGCTAGACTACAGTGGTCGGAAGAATCTATTGGCGAGATGGAGTCTACATCAACTAGGCCTGTGATCAATATATTTGGAAATGCTAGGAGGATGGGAAATGCTCCTCCCACCCAGCAAGAGAGGCGGGCTGTGGGTCCCACTGGGAGAGCAACTGCTGGGACGCAGGATGGGAGCGAGAACTACTCGTCCCGCCTGCATTCTGGAAGTCGCCAGCCTGGAGTGAAGCTTACGGGGAAAAGCCCTTGGGAACCCCGTAGGTGGATGATGGGTCCTGCAGCCTGCCACCCCTTTTTATATGGAGCAGGACCTATTATATGCACAACGTGATCGCCAACTCAGGCTATACGGCCACCTGGCTTGCTTCCCTCAGGATGATCCTGCCCACCATGTTGTCTCTGTTCGAGACAGCTCTGGGTGGAGGAGGCCTGTGGGACGACCCAGGAAGTCGTGGCTTGGGCAGATCGATCAAACCTGTTGCGAGGAGCTTGAGATGGGCTAAGTCCCTGCCTGGTGGCTTGCCATGAAGGACCCTCACAGGTGCAAGCAAAGGGTAGATGCGACTATGCGCCCCTGTCAGTGTTAGCTCCATGATGATGATGATGATATATATATATATATATATATATATATATATATATATATATATATATATATATATATATGAACTCACATACATGATTGACATATTTATATATTTGTATATATATATATATATATATATATATATATATATATATATATATATATATATATATATATATATGAATATCTCACGACCGGAAAGGTTGCTTATTCATCATTTCAGTGCGGTAGTGCATTTATTCCATCTTTTATTAAATACACCTCAGAATTTCTAATTTGGATTGGCGCTGCTCTATCTATATCTACCGAGTGCCCTCTGGGAGTTTGTGTAAAACTTCGCTATCCTTACTTAAGTATGAGCAGGTAGGTAATGTCTATCGAAGCTAGATAGCTCCTAGTTGTACACTCCTTTTAGCAGGTCATGTAGCTCAATGTCTGCAACGGCGGCGAGGGTTCGAATCCCGATCGGAGGGGTTATTTATTCATACAAATTCGGTAGTCTATTATTCCATCCTTCATTTAACATCTATATATATTTATTCTTCTATTCATTTATATATTTCTTTATTTTTTATATATACATTCTTGAGATAACAGAAGGGAATAATTCAGATATTAGTTTTGGTTCTTTGTCGTATACTTGTTTATTTGTCTTAATTCATGGGAGTTGTTTCATTTGCTGAAACTTTTGATGCATTTATGAAACATCTTAACATGAACATACTGGTCTTCTTTGGGATGCAGATAAGTAAATCTGA